ATACCTAGTAAGCAGTCACTCTTCACTCCTCCCTCCTTGTAGTCCCTGGCAATCATAGTCTACTCTTTCTGTAGATTTGTCTATTCCGAACATTTCATATAAATGGAATCATACATGTGACCATTTGTGTCTGTTTTTTTCACTTAAACGTAATGTTTTCAAGGTTTATCAGTATTGTAGCATGAATCAGGCTAGCTTCTCTTTATTGCTAAATAATATTTTATTATATAAATATGCCATGTTTTGTTTATCCATTTACCAGTTCATAACATTTTAGTTGTTTCCACTTTTGGATATAGTGAGTAATGCTGCTTTGAACATTCATGTTCAGGTTTTTGCTTGAAACTTGTTTTCATTGCTTTTGGGTATATACACAGAAGTCAGATGGCTGGGTTATTCTGTATTTAACTTTTTGAGGAACAGCAACTGTTTTACACAGCACTTATACCATCTTATATTCCCACCAGCAATGTATTAGGATTCTAACTAACTTCTCTACATTCTCAGTAACACTTTTTTGTCATCTTTTTTTTTTTTTTAATTGCTATCCTACTGGGTATAAAGTGATATCTCCCTATGACTCTGATTTATAGTTCCATAATGATTAATGATGCTGAGTACGTTTTCATGTGCTTTTTGTCCATTTGTATATCTTCTTTGGAGAAAGGTCTCTTCAAGTCTTTTGCTTATTTTTAAATTGCATTGTCATTTTGTTCTTGAGTTGTAGGAGTTCTTTATATAGTCTGGATTTTAGACTCTCTTCAGATAAATGATTTGCACATATGTGCTGCCATTCTAGGTGTTGTCTTTTCACATTTTTTTTTTTTTGAAATAGAGAGCGTGCGTGTGTACAAGTTGGGGTGGAGGAGGAACAGGGGAAGCTGACTCCCTGCTAAGCAGGGAGCCCAAGGATGTGGGACTTGATTCCAGAACCCTGAGATCATGACCTGAGGCGAAGGCAGACACTTAACCATCTGAGCCACCCAGGCACCCCCATTCACACTCTTGATATGGTGACTTTTGATGCACAAACATTTTACCTTCCAGTTTACTAATTATCTCTTCATCTCTGTCTAATCTGTTTTTCAATTCACCTGTTGAGTTTTTATTTTCATAATTTTAATTCTTAGCTGGAATTTTAAATTTTTATTTTCTCCAAATATTAAGCATACTACCCCCCCTTTTTTTACAGGCAACATGACACAGACTTTTTTTTTTTAAAGATTTATTATTTCAGAGAGAGCACAAGAGATATAAAGCGAGTGGGAGGAGGGGCAGAGGGAGAGGATCTTCAAGCAGACTCCCCACTGAGCACGGAGCCCCACATGGGCTTGATCTCTCATGACCCATGAGATCATGATCTGAGCCAAAACAAGAGTAGGCCATTCAACTGACTGAGACACCCAGGCTCCCCTACACAGACTTAATACAGAATTTAGTCAGTATTTCTCAGGGAAAACTCTCAGCACTTTGACCCAGTAATTCTATATTTATCATCTATAGAAATACTATAGAAAGAGCTGCATAAGTGGCCATTAATAAGAGACTGGTTATGTTATAATACATGATATACTGCAGTAAGTTTTTTTTAAATGAGTTAGAATTACATATGATGAAATTACAACTATAACACAATTGGGAACCTTAAGTGAGACACTTGCTTTAATTTTACTTCTCAGTGTAGACCATATTACCATCATTTCATGTAAGACCATGTGCTTGTTTTTTTAAATTTTCTACTCTTTTCCCCCAGGCTTATTGAGGTATGATTGAGAAATACAGATTGTATATATTTAAGGTATATAACATGTTATTTTGATAAATGTATACATTGTGAAATGATTACCACCATAACACTAATTAAATATCTGTTACTTCACACAATTACCCTTTTTGTGCGTGTGTGAGAACACTTGAGTTCTACTCAGGAAATTTCAAGTGTACCATGTATTATTATTATTAGCTATAGTCATCATGCTGTCCATTAGGTCTCCAGAACTTAATTATTGAACAACATCTCTCTTTTTCCCCCATCCTCTTAGCCCAGGTAACCACCATTCACCTCTCTCTACTGTGAGTTTTTTATTTTTTAGATTCCACATCTAAGTGAGATTATGCAGTATTTGTCTTTCTGTGTCTGGCTTAGTTGACTTAGCATAATGTTTTCCAGGTTCATCCATGTTGTTATAAGTGGCAGAATTTCTTTCTCTCTTATGGACAAATAACCTGTGTGTGTGTTTGTGTAAAATCACATTTTCTTCATCTTTTGACAGACACTGAGGTTGTTTCCAAATCATGGCTACTGTGAATAATGCTGCAGTGAGCATAGGAGTGCATATATCTCTTTGAGATGATAGTTTTATTTCCTTTTGGTATATACTCAGAAGTAGGATTGTTCCGTCATGTGGTAGTTCTATTTTTAATTTTTTGAGGATCCTCCATGCTGTTTTACATAATGGTTGTACCAGCTTACATTGCCACCAACAGAAGGGATCCCTTTTCTCCACATCATTGCCAACACTTGTTATCTTTTGACTTTTTGAGAATAGCTGTCCTAACAGTGGTTTTGATTTGCATTTCCCGAACGTTAGTGATGTTAAACATCTTTTTGTGTAACCGTTGGCTGTTTGTATGTCTACTTTGGAAAAATGTTCATTCACATCTTTTGCCCATTTTATAATTAGGTTGTTTGTTTTTTGCTATTGAGTTTCTTATGTATTTTCGATATTAACCCCTAAGGATGTATGGTTTGCAAATATTTTCTCCAATTCCCTAGGTTGCTTTTTCATTTTGTCAGTAGTTTCCTTTGCTTGCAGAAACCTTTCCATTTGATGTAGTCTCACCTACTAACCTGGTTTTGTTGCCTGTGCTTTTGGTATCAAATTCAAAAAATCATTGCCAAGACCAATTTCAAGGAGTTTTTCTCCTTTTTGTCTAGGAGTTTTATGGTATCAGGTCCTATGTTTAAGTCTTTAACCCATTTTTCAGTTGATTTTTGTATATAGTATAAGATAGGGATCCAATTTCATTCTCTTGCATGTGCCTTTTCAGTTTTCCCAGCACTGTTTATTCAAGAGACTGTCATTTCCCCCGTTGTGTATCCTTGGTGCCTGTGTCAAAGATTAGTTGACCATGTATGCATGGGTTTATTTCTAGGCTTTCTGTTCTGTTCTGTTCGTCTGTGTGTTTTTTGTTTTTTGTTTTTTGTTTTTACGCTACCACCAAATTCTTTTGATTATTATAGCTTTGTAATATACTTTGAAATTAGGAAGTGTGATGCCTCCTAGTTTGTTTTTCTCTCCCTCAGAATTTCTGTGGTTACTTAGGGTCTTTTGTGATTTCATATAAATTTTAGAATTGCTTTTTTCTGCTTCTGTAAAAAATGCTATTGGAATCTTGATAGGGGTTCCATTGAACCTATAGATGACTGGGTTTTATGGACATTTTAACAATACTAATTCTTCTAGTCCTTGAACTTGGGATATCTTTCCACTTATTCTTCAGTTTCTTTCATCAGTGTCTTAGAGTTTTCAGTGTATGGGTCTTTCACCTCCTTGGTTAAATTTATTTCAAATTATTAATCTTTCTGATGTTAATTAAGTATACTACTTTAAATTCTGTGCCTCTTTGCTCCACAATCTGTATCCTTGTGAGACTATCTCTTTTGAATGGTCTTTCTGATTTACTTTTTTGATATTGTTTTACCTCTTTGTTTTTGTCAATTAAGGGCCAGATACTGTGTATGAAAAATTGTGGAAGTAATTTGAGACCTATGCCAGTATTGTCTCCCTCTAAGAAGATTTGTGTTAGTTTTTGGCAGGCATTAGCAATCCAAGATTGCCTTAATTGAATTTTGTGGTAGACATTTGGAGCCGAGCTTTATTCCTGTAAAAGGCCAGACTAGCTTTGGTTCATACTTACTCCTAGAGTGTAGCCCTTTGGGCTTCCAAACAAAAGTGTTGGAGTTTTACCAGCTTCCACTCTGTATCTTGGTTTTTCTCTGCATTTCAATATTTGTCCTTCCAGCTCTTTAAAACTGTCAGTAGCTTCTTAGCCTCTCGGATGCCACTGAGTAAAAAGTAGCCCCAAATGCCAGGCTTCAGTCTTTTTTTTTTTCTTTATGTAATCCTTCCTCATGCTATTAACTCTTCCGTGCCTTCAGGAAAATTTTATAACATATGTACAGTTCTAGTTTTTCTTAGGGAAAAGTTGGTCTGAAGTGCATAATCTGCCATTATTGGAAATAGAAGTCAACAGTATATAGGTGGAAATACATAGCATATAACTTAATCTTTTTAAATATCAAAGCAGATTAAAAGATCACCATATAGGGCACCTGGGTGACTCAGTCGGTTGGGCGTCTGCCTTCAGCTGGGGTCATGATCCCAGGGTCCTTGGGATCGAGTCTCACATCAGGCTCCTTGCTCAGCAGGGAGCCTGCTTCTCCCTCTGCCTGCTGCTTCCCCTGCTTGTGCTCTCTCTCTCTCTGACAAATAAATAAAATCTTACCAAAAAAAAATTACCATATAATAATGTCAGTCTTACCTACTTGTATTCGCACATACTTTTTTGGAGAAGGGGGTAAGAGAGAGAGTTAGAGTGATCCTACTAGCAATTGCATGTATTGGATTATCAGGCAGGTGAATATCTTCTTTTATGTTTCTTATCAGGGAAAAAAACTGAAGACCAGTGCTCCAATTGTAACACTTACTGCATTGTACCATAATTATTTCTTTATGGGACTGAATCATTCATGAGGTAGTGAGCCCCTTATAAGGAGGAACCTCATTTTATCCATGTTTAATTTCCTAGTGCTAAACCTGCTGTTAAGTGTCCATCCAGTAAGTATAGACATGAATGTAGGTGTTGAAAATATCTTATTTGGCTTTTCACCATGAAAATCAGCATGGGTATATGATGTTCTGAATTATCTTAAAAGGTAAATTTTAATGGAGAAGGAAGAATCTTTTCTTATCAGCTCTTTTGTTCTGTCCTAACAGGTGGCATCTCCACAGAAAGCGACTGTGTTTTTGAGCCTGACTACGCCGTTCCACCACTTCCAGTGAGTGAAGGTATGCAGCACATTCGGATTATGGAGGGCATGTCTCGCTCTCTTCCATCCTCCCCCTTACTCACACATCAGTCTATCAGTGTTCGGCTCCAACCTGTGAAGAAGTTAACTGGTAAGGACTTTACCTAAATTTAGTATATTTAACAGGAAACCTAACAGTATGACACTTTAGGTCATATCAGATATGTTTATGTGCATCTTTAGGTTTTTCCTTTTTGGCCTTCCTAATGTCACAGACTCTTGGAAAGTGGAACTCCTACTGATTTTAATTTAGGGATTAGAATAGTACTCCATTTGACAGATTGATGTATTTATTTTCTAAGTGATCCATCTGTTGTGGACATATTTTTCTAGGCTTTCAGGAAACTTCTAGTTTTGCCAGAATACACTGTTGTTCTGATTTCATTTATCAGCTTGTTCATGTCAGATTAACAGATGGAGATATTGTAATTTTAGGATAATAGAGCTTCATAGTTCAGCAAAGGTACATCAGTCATGTTTTCTGTTTTTAATCCTAATCTGTGTATTTCACATCTATTTCTAAAAGCTGATTTAGGTATTTTCCTCTCCCATTGTACATTCCTCCAACTTCTTGGGATATTAACTATAATTCATAAGTTGTGGATTGTACTGACTTTAATATGATCTCACAGTATGTATTACCCATTCAGATCAAGTGATTAGGTGTGAAACTGGGTCTTAATTATTGAATGAGCTTTTGTCCTTTTAAGCTTTTTCAGAGAAGAAATTTTAATATGTTGAATGATACTTACATGTGAAAATATGTAAGCCTGGGCCACTTTCTTAGGTCTCTTTTAACATTATCAATATATAGCTGGTATCATTAAGTTGACTGGTAATGGTGGGTTATGAGTCATTAGGGGCAAGAAATTAAGTCATTCCAAAAGGAAGGATACATTCATTAACTGCTTACTATATGTCTGGCACTGAGCTAGACAGTGGGGAGGTTTGATTATCATTTGACAATTCAAAAGAAAACAGGAGGAGAGAAGGGAAAATGGAATTTCTGGACTCTTCCGTCTATTTTGAATGAAGATTTTTACAATGTTTATAATTTTCATGAAAACAATAGTATTTCTTTATTCTTTAGTTCCACAAGGCGTAAGGCATTTTTATATTTATTGTTTTTAGGCTTCTTCAGATAACTGAGTCAAAGTCTACTTTGATTCTTGGGTCATTAAATAAAAATCAGTAAAATAGCTTAGTAACATTTTACTGAAATATTTATTCCCTCTGATATCTAAAAACAGGATAAATTTTATGTGGTTGGACTTGAATAAAATTTCTTTGCTTAGAAATCTCCCCTTTTTCTTGCAGTTTAAGATATTGTTGATTACTGAAAATATAATTAACCAAATATAAGATGGCTGTCAGGTGATGTTCTTCATTTACCACACATTGGAAGAGTTAGCAAGAAAAGTTCAGTTTCCTTGCAGAAATGAACTGGATTGCCTGAGGTTCCTATCCCATTTGCCTATCCCAATTTAAGCTTCAACTTAAATAGGGAACTTTATTAAAAGATAAGTACATTCGATAACAAAGTCAGTTACATGACTGATATCACAGAGGTGAGACAGGGAAGCAGTAATAAGAGGTATGCTTGGTTAATTACATGTGTGTTTTAATTTTTTAGTGTTTGAAGCATTTGAATGCTATCAATTTTATTTGTTGAAGAGACTGTCAAAGGCCTAAGAATTTAAAGATTGAGGATGCATTTTGAAATTACTGAATGAGAGAAATCTGTCTCCTGAAAAAGGATGCTATGAACATTTTCCTGTGGCCAATTTTCTGCTAAGTGAAGCAGATGATAAGAGTTTTTTGGTTTAACCTAGAATGAGATTACTTTGAAATTTAAATTTAAAACCTTAGTTAGTAGATTTATGAGTTATCTTTCCTTTCCTAATTATATTTTGTTATGAATAACTAAAAAGAAAGTTGAATAGAGAAAGATTTGCTGACCATAAGTTAAATGTCCTCCAGAGAATGGTTTTTAACAAAATGCATTAATTTAATCCAGCCATTAGGACTGCACTTACTGATTTATCCATTTCCATACATTTGAACTTCGATTACCTTATATTCCTTGTATTCATATCACCAACCAAACTAAGTAGGACCAGAATAGTCATCTTATTCTGTTTTCTTTCTGAATTTCTAATATTTAGTACCCTGTGTTTGCTATAGTCAAAGTAGTTTATTATTTTTCTGTGCTTTTCACCTCATTGTTCAGCATATATTTGTTTAGGACCCATAATATGCCATCACTGCTCTAGATGCACTTAATAGAGTGGTGAACAATTTTAGATAGTAACAAATAATATGAGGGTGATGAAATAGGAAATGGGATAGAGGGAGAGTGGAGTGGAGGTAGGATTTCTTTCTGTGGAGTCATCAGGAAGAGTCAGAAGAGGAGGTATTTGAACGGCGGAGATGTGAATAACTGAAAGAAACCAGTCATGGGAAGATCTGGGATCAGAGCCCTCTAGGCAGAGGAACAGCTAGAACAAAAGTCCTACGGCAGAAAGCAGCATTGGCGTGTTCAAGGAATGGGAAGAAGGCAAGTGGGGTTTTAGCAGAGTAAGTCAGAGTGGAGGATAGTAGAAAACAGTTGAGGAGGTAGGCAGAAACCAGGGTTTTTAGGTCCTGGTAAGCAACCTAACTGTAGGATTTTAAGCAGAGCCGGAATAGGAAGTAATGTGATCTGATTGACCTTTTTATCAGATCTTGTTGGCAAATGTGTAAAGAATGGCATCTGAGGGACTAAGTATGCTATGTTCATTAACCTTGTGTGTTTTCCTGATCTTTAAATCTGTCTTTAGTTCTGATAAGTTAATAGAGTGGTGAAAAGAAAATCTTTTTTTGTTTTACCTTGTGAGATATAGTGAAGGAATAACTAACCATTTCCTATCATTTTTATTATAGAACCTTTGTACTCCTCTAAAATATTTATCTGAGTCCTTCACACAAGTGTAGGTGACGACCCATTTGGTCTATCAATTAAGACTTTTTTATTCCAAGGAAAGAAGATACAGCCAAATGGTCTAAGCAACAAAGGAGAACTAGAAGACCTAAGGTTGTGCAGACCTCAAGGTTCATTTGACTTAGTTGGATATTGCTGTGCACTGGGGAGGTCCAGAGGAGAGTATGCAGAGATACCGTTGGCCCCTGTTACTGTGGTGATGGCATTGCCCCAGTTCTCTAGATTCTTGCTTAGTGCTCTTTTCAAGATGTTCTTGTTCATAATATCCCAAAGCCCCTCAAGCATACTTCTTAAAATATAGATAATTAGGAGTGCCAATAGTCCATTTATGCAACACTTACCTGAATTTATACTGTTGGCCTATTATATATACTATAAGTTTAGTAAAAGTTAAATTTTGAGTATTCACATTTTTGGTAAGGTATAAATCATTGCAACCTTTTTGTAGGGCAGTTTGATAGTGTGTATCAAAGTTGTAATGCACAAGGGTGCCTAGGTGGCTCAGCCGGTTAAGCCTCTGATTCAGTAATTTCAGCTTGGGTTGCATGTCCATGTGCTCTCTCTCAAATAAATAAAATCTTTAAAAAAATTGTAATGTACATAATCCTTGATACAGTAATTTCCTTGCACAGAGTTTATTTTACAAATAAACTTGAACAAGCTTGAAACATGTATATATATATATATCTCTATACATATGTATGGTAAAAACTAAAATCTAAATATTTATCACTAATAGTAATCCATTTGTGTGACACACACACACATACACACACGTGCATGCACATACATTTGGTGGTGGTGTGGAGATACAGTAACTCTAACCCAAAAGTGGGAGAGGGATGACAAATTCTGTTATGTACCTTTCTATAATGTTTGTATTTTCTACCACGTGTAAAATCTGAAGTCTCATGAGGCAGTATAACAAAATGGACCCTGACTGCCATTTCTTTTTTTTTTTAAGATTTTATTTATTTGAGAGAGAGAGAATGAGAGAGAGAGAGCACATGAGAGGGGGGAGGGTCAGAGGGAGAAGCAGACTCCCTTCTGAGCAGGGAGCCTGATGTGGGACTCAATCCTGGGACTCCAGGATCATGACCTGAGCTGAAGGCAGTCGCTTAACCAACTGAGCCACCCAGGTGCCCTTGACTGCCATTTCTTAACTATGTAAACTTAAGCAAATTTGCTGAAAGTCTTTGTACTTCACTTTCCTTATTTCTAAAGTAGAAATAATAGGACTATTACAAGAACTGAATGAGTTGGTACATATAAAGCTCATGAGACAGTATCTGACAAAGAATAAGTAGTCAATAAATGTTAGCCACATTTATTATAATTCTAGAAGAGATTTGGGTGACTTTCCATCAGCTATATGAAATATGAGTTCTGAGGCTTTGGAAGGTGATCTTCAAGTAATTTACATAATTACCTTAAGTAAGCCCTTTTTCTTTTCTGAGGAGTAACCTTCAAATACTAATATCCAATGGATTATTAGCTAGTCTTTAAGAATTTTTTTTTTTTGCCCTGATTTAAAAAGTATTTGCTACATAGATTGGAATGACTGTGGCAGTCCAATTTAGATGGTAAATAAGTCACAATAACCCATCTGATCATGCTACAGCCTAGTTACTTTAGATGCTAGCTATAGCCAAAATATTATTTTCATCATGGGTAAAAAAGAATCATTGACTTGTTTATGATACATCCTGGGAAAAAGATTTAAAGCTATTTTGACATTAAAAACAGCCTATACGTAATATTAGTCTACATATTCTGATATATTTTAGTGTACTTATACATTTTTCACATAATTATCTTGCAATTTTTGGAAGCACTGGAATTCAAGATATACTTTAGTGAATTTTATTGTTAGAAAAAATTACGGAGTTCCTGTGAAGAATGAATAAGATTTCTTAAAACCTAATACATAATAAACATTGTATCAGTGTTACTTTTCTTCTCATTTATTATCTTGGATAAAATGGAAATTAGTCTTCAGA